ATGGCAGAGTTATGGGGGATACAATCTTCCATAATATAACACCTTTTATTAAAAACAGAAAAAAAGCAGACTTACCCTTGGTTATCTATATCCTCTGACATCAGTGGTTTGGAATCAGAAAAAAGCGTCACTCTACTTGAAGCCATCTTGGCATCAATGGTGGAGCGGGTGGAGATGAGACTCTGGACCAGCTCGTGAGTGGGCCCTGCCTCGTCCTGCCAAGGCCACCAGGAAAGGGAAAGTAAGGAACGCACAAGCACTCTGGAGAAACACATGGGTTTCAATGTTTCTAAAATTATCCTAAACACAGTTCCTGAGAACCTTTGTTAATGCTCAAAAAGAAGAGAAGAAAATTCTTACAACAAAGCTTGAAGTCGATCTCCCTCTTCATTACACTTTCACAAAGTACATGGAGTATGTAACCTCACAACCCAAATACTAACCTAAAAAACCTTAGGTCCCAATGCTAGCTTTTCTAGCATTTTAAAATATCATTTTTACCCAATAAAATCCCATTTCAGAATTAAGAATTAAAAATATGGAGTTCATTTTAAAAAGCAGAATGAGGAGACCATTCTGAATAGAAAAGCAGAATGAGAAAGAGAGAGAACACCAACGAGAGTTGGAAAACACTGATTTTGTATAAAGAGAAACAGGCCACACAGACGGCACAGTGCCCACGCTGGGAGCCACGGATCAGAGAGGCATGGAGGACTAGACTCTGACTTTCTGCTACAATGGTATGGAAGTATTATACAAAGAAGTACTCTGGGGGTCCACTTGCTCAAGACTTCTTGGGCATGGCTCCAGGTAAAAAAATTAAAAAAAAAAAAAAAGAAGTACTCTGATACAATGAGGTGTTCATTATATTCTGTATATTTTCAATATGCATATGGGCTTTTATCATAAATATAAATAAAGAGGGAAAGCTTCAATAAATAAAGGCTGAATATATTATTTCTGTAATAAAAAACAGGTTAGGAAGCAATGATGAGAATTCAAAGCAAAGACTCCCATCTCACCGATGCCTGACAACCATGGCTGCCACCAAGGTCAACGTAGACAGCATCTTTGTCATACAGCACACCACCAACACCAGAGAGAGGCGCATAGACTAGCTTCTCTTTCTCATTTAAACAGCGCTTCTTTTGTTGTTCAGGAAGAGCACAGGGGTCTGGGAGGAAACTGACATCACTCACAGCAAAATCTCCTACACCTGAAAGACAGAACCCAGCAAGCCAGCTGCAGCTGACAAGAAAGCAGCAAGTATCAAGTTGTTGGTAAAAATGCCCCATAGGTCAAAGACTTAAGCCATGGCACTAAAAAAGGGCATCATGCAACACCAGAACTGTGCCTCTCTAGCTACATGATGCCAAGGTCAGAGAAGAGGGGATTCAGTCCACTCGACACCTTTGCAGGCAGACACATGGCTGGGTTACTTTTATAACCGCCAGCAAGGCAGCTCTCCCTTGTTTGGTCATTTTTCAGTTTTCCTAAGAAATTATTAAAAGTCATACGTAATCTAAACATTTGTACCCCCATAATATGCTGAAATAAAAAAGAAAAAAAGCCACCCCAAGAATTCTGCATGTATTTCTAGTATGTTTTACAACAAGAGGATACCTGGCATATGAATTTGGCTTTTATTTTTCAAGTGTGCGCCTCTTAAATAACCATAAAGAGACACCTTTCGGTCACATTTGATGTTGGTTCGCATATCCTCTGGGTTTGTCAAATCTTCCATCCTACAAAAATTGCATGGCAGAAATGAATGTCAGAAGTTCCTATACCTCCCTTCACGTGTTAATAACTCATCATGTCACATTCTTGTTCGTTAAGCATGTTGTTTACAAAACTAGAACACAGAGAAATACGGAAGCACAGTTCACCTTCCACCAGAGGAAGAAGAGCAAATACACAGTTGTGTCTCATTCCGTAAGACACCAGCAAGGGAAATTATGGCCACCTGAGGTCAGGAAAGGGTGAGAAAGAACAAATTCAGAAAATCCCTTTACAGAAGAGGGTCGGCCCGTGACCTGGGGTTTTTAGTGCAGCTTGGATTCCAGCAGGTAGAGGAAGAGTACTCCAAGCTAAGAAAACCCACTAAGGAAAAGCACTAAGGAAGGAAAGTCAAGGCACGTTTGAATGCCTCGCACGCCAGGGCACAAAGACAGTGTCACTGAAAGCTAAGGTTGAAAGCAGGACGGGGACACATCCTACACTCTTAAATGCTTCAAAATCCTCCCATTTTCCTAAATATCGCATAAGTGATTTACTCCCAAAGGCACAGCACCTTTAAGTGATGATATAAGCAGACATTTTCCATCAACTATACTTCTCCCTGCACCATTCAAACAGGCACAAAATAAGTGCTATCACTGTTCTTTTTCTAACCGTTTCAGCTTTGATATATATAGGCCAGGAAGAAAAGTTTATGTCCATTTTTACCTGTCTGCCAGGATATAAGGGTGAGAAGTTTGCCATGTGAGAGGCCTAAACTTCATAACTGTAATAAAACGGCCCAGATTGTGAATTTCTTGGTTTTGATATTCTCCATGTACCATTCCAGAAAGGTAGAATAGCTTGGCACCCTAAACATTAAAAGACAATTAAAAATTAAATTTCAATTAAATTCTTGTTCATACTGAACCAAAATAGAGGTCCTAAATAACAAGCAATCCTAAGAAGGGAGAATTCTAGCAAAGCCCTGTCCAGATGCTTCCAAAGCCCTGCTCACTTCTTTTAGGACTTATCTCGTTAGGGTCTCAGGGGCAGAATGCTGTCCAGCTGAGCAGCGGCATCAGCCTGTGCACGACACTGGGGGGTAAGTGAGGCTTCTGAGCACAGCAAACGTTCTGTGGGTACAAGGTTGGAAAGAGTAGCAATGCCCAATCCTATAACTGGCAGAAAATTCCGACATACTCTACTAAATAACAACCCAAAAACAGAGCCAACACTGCTTGGTACAGGGGGAGTACAGGGACTGTGAATAGACACATAAAGGAAACTAGGAGGTGAATCCTACAGAAATGTTTATTAATGTCTCTTCATTCTATTTTAAAAGGATTATAGTGCTAGTATCCAACAATTATTTCTCTTCCTACCGGGTAGACTTCTGTCCAGAACCTGTGTTTTAATCGCTTCTTTGTCTTCTTCAGTTGCTTATTATGCTTGAAGGAGTCTAGGTGGGTGAGAACTCCCATAATTTTAGGAAAGCCATGAACTTGACAAATGTTTAGAAATTCAAATGTTTCCATTTCAAACCCGAAGCTGGCATCTATAAGCATCAGCACCTAAAAACAGAACACAAAATGTCTCAAGAAAGCTACCAAAATAGAAAATCTAGACCAGGAGTCAGCAAATGGGGCCAAATCCAGCCCATTACTTGCGTTGCTAACTTAAGTTTTATTGGAATACAGCCATATTAATTCATTTACATATTACCTGTGGCTGATTGTGCACTACAAAAGCAGGGTACGTAGCTGCAACAGAAACTATATGACATATAAAGCCTAACATACTATCTGTCCTTGACAAAATAAGTTTGCCAACTCTTGCTCCAGAGTCTAAAGCAAATGACTACCTAGGCATCATCCTGACAGAGAAACCACCACCCCTGACTTGCTCTAAAAAGCAACCATAAGATAATGTCCATGAGGATATAAACTTGTATTTCAAGAATATGGATGTATGAGAAATAACTCAGAAAAAGCCACGTCTAATTCGGCTGTTACTTAAGAATTCTGACTTCAAGAAATGAAGTTTTTTGTAAGGTCTTTTTAGGCCAATAACAAGTTTCAAACAAGGAAACCAAATAATAGGTCTTTGACATCCAAAAAATGTGAACTGATAATCAATGAAAAATATTAAAAAGTACAGAAAACCAGTCTTTTGTTTCAATCTTCCTAAAAAGAACTCGATCTGTTTTTTACTGGGAATATAATGGAAAAGCTCTATCTTACATGTTAATTTGTATAATTCAATTGCTCAGATAATTTTTTTAAAGGCTACCAGTTTAGAATTGAGTCAAAAAATAGTAAAGTTATGATGAATGGTAATCTACAAGAAAATACAAGCAGATCGGATCAATTTTTAAAATTTAAGACTCTTCAAATACGCAAAATCATTTCAGAATTGATACCTGGAGATTTCTAGCTTAGATATTAAAGACATCTCTGTTCTCATCTTTCTGTAGCTAACAAAAACAACAAAAAATAGAAACAGAAACATCCACGTTTGACTAAACTAGAGAATATCCACATCCTAAGCCACGGAATACATGAAGGTAAGCAACTGAGTGCTGTGAGAAAGCGCACTGCTGCCGAGACTGAGCCAGCAAGCAGAATTCTTCAGTGACGCTGGAACAAATCGAAGGTCAGGCAGACTATCCTGACACCCTATTTGATCCTGCAGAGTCCCAAGGGGCAAGCAATTGGCTGTAGGATCAGGAAGAAAAGGTAGCAAACAGTCCCTCCGTTGGCAATCTCTGTCAACTAAATCGGTATCACTCCCCCAATGCACTCACATGCACAACACAGTGAAAGCCATGTACTAAGTTCGCCTTTGTCATGACTTAGGAAGCTTTATGACAACCCAGAGCAGAGCAGTCGGCATAAGCCAGGGTAAGTTACAGTGTAGCCACGCCATGGAACACTGTATTAAAAAGAAAAAGGTTGAGCTACAGTACTTACTGGTTATATATCTCCAAGATACATTACATGAAAAAAGCAAAGCATAGAACAGTGTGCATAATAAATTACACTTTCTGCTTTTAAAGCTTTGCATGTGTTTCTACATACGTGGAAGGATACTGCTCTGAGCAGAACTGAGACACCAGGGATCAGAGCAAGGAAAGAGAAAACATATACAGTGTGTACTCCACAGTATAATTTGAATATTTTATCAAATGCGTGTGCTCCCTTCTAAAACTTTAAAAAGACTTAGACAAAAGACATCTCTATTAATATGTATGCTTTTAAAATTAGAAACAAGAGAAACTAATGACTTCTACGCTGAACTCTTTCAATCATTTCAAATACATAAGATTTAGTAAGTCAACTACTTTGTGGTAACGATAATACTTATTTTTACTAATGGTAACATTACATGTTCAAAATTTGAACAGTGTTTAGTTTTATGACATTAAAATGGCACAGCTTTAAAACCTATATTACTTTTTATTTTATACTTTAGGACCCTTCCTGGGCCAAAGGATAAAATCTGTAGCTCTTTGTCACCAAACAGCTCTCCAGAAAAAGCTGAATCAAAAAAAAAAACAAAAAACAAGGTATCTGTCACCCACACTTCAATGGGGTCAATATGGCTTAATATTTTGGTTTTATTTTATTTCCTTTTGCTAATTCAAAAGACAGTTAATGGAATATCAAAAATAATGAACGCTACCATTTCCGTAAACGCAACTGAAGCTGCACGTTTTCCGTGCTTAGTACTGTCTAGATTTTCTATTGACACAACCTCTCCGGGATATTCTATGTACATGCTTTATCATAACCAGTAAGAATGGAGGTTCTGGCCGGGCGCGGTGGCTCACGCCTGTAATCCTAGCTCTCTGGGAGGCCGAGGCGGGCAGATTGT